GAGCCCACCAGAGACCACCGAGTCTCGGAGCCGAGCAGAGACCACCGAGTCTCAGAGCTGAGCAGAGACCACCGAGTGTCAGAGCCGACCAGAGACCACCGAGTCTCAGAGCCGAGCAGAGACCACCGAGTGTCACTGAGGTGTTTCTGGACTGGTCAGAGACTTGAAATGTATTTGAAATGATGATCTGTGTTGAGAGCTGCTCTTCTTTTGTTTAATAATAAAATCTAAACTCTTTCTTTGTCTCTTCTCTCATTAAGCTCCAGTGTTTGTTCTACATTCATTAAATGACTTTAAGATGTTTGCAAACAGACTATTAAAAATGATTTTTGACCTTTTCAAACAGTTAATGAGAATAAAACGTCAACTTTTATTGTGACAGATTTTCCTCTCGTGGTCATAAAACCTTTCAGTTGTCTGAATGAAATCATTTTCTGTAGGATCAAATGAAACGACTGATTTTATGAGTTTTTAAAAASCATTTAGTGACTTTAAGGTACAAATATTCTGTTTGGAGTTTTTGTGATGAACTTTGAGTCCTGACGTGGCTGCAGGTCTTTAAACACATCATGATGCCTTCAGGGTCCACCTCCCAGCTTCAGGATGAGATGTGTTTGTTTTGGTGTAAAACTTTCTAGATAAAAAGGAAAAATATATTTATAAACAATCATTTTTTCCATGGATCTGACTTTAAATCAGGAATCAAAGAGCAGCTTTTATTGAAAAAGGTTTGACACTCCCCACCTTTCAGTTTTTATCTTTAGCTTCTCTCAATAAAACATTATGTCTTTGGTTAAATATTTAAAAAAAACTCAGGATACTCAGAACTTTTCAATATTTAACCAAAACTAGTTGACAGAGCAACTTTATTTGAGGTTTACGTGTGTAACACATTTACCCAGAGGAGACTCACAGGAAGGGTTAACCTTCATCCTCACTAAAACTTAATAAAAGTTTGGATGCAGCTGTTGGAATAAAAGCCGAAATTATCAAAACAGATAAAAGCTTCAAAATGTCCTGATGCATCTCAGTAATCCAGGTAAAAAATCAAAAAGAAAAAAAATTGTGTAGGTCTTCTAGAACCCGTCCAGAAGACCAACACAATTTTTTTCTTTTTGTTTTTAGATTAAAGTTTAAGTGGTCATAGCTAAAGTTAGCAAAATAGTTGCCGAAATCAAAGTTAATAAAATATCTATTGTTATTTTTAAGTGAAATATCTTGTTCTCCAGTGGACAGATCTTTAGTTTAATTCTGTTTTTCTTTTTGCTCGTCGTTGAATTAATTATTCGACACGTTCACATCTTTGTTTTATAATCCAACTCGTAATTTTTTATAGTTGAAGCTGAAGGTCAAGGTTTCCTGCTGGAGACAGTTTTTATTTTCTGATCCATAGACTTGTTCCATCACAGAGTGTCCGAGCCGTTTATCCAAAACTTTATTTCCTTATTTTATGTTGGTCAGGATGATAAGATCAGGCTGTTATCTGCAGGCAGATCTGCTGGGACAACAACCTGCAAACACTGAGTCACACAACAGAAGCTGCAGAAACTTTACAACAAACCACCTGAAGGGTCATTTGGAAACAAAGAGATAAAAGATGGTGGGTCACAAATCCTGATAAGACTGGTTCCTCATTCCACCAACACTCAGTTTATCAGTCAGAGCAGGACGCTTCCAACCTGTAAAGACTTATTTTACATTAAAGCTTTTTAACATAGCAGTGCTGCTGCTGAAAAGATTTTACATCTTTCATCAGCACTATTCAGGATGCAGAAGGAAGATTTCTGAGGATTTCATGACAAAAAAACAACATTATTTTAAGAGTGTCTTGGAAAAATAAATTATCCTTTATAGAGTCCTGCATTTATAGGGTGCAGTTTGTAAAGTTACAGTCAAAAATTACCAGCAATATTTTTGTTTTATTTAGCCTTTTATAAGAAAAAAAGA